GAGGAGAGCGCTGCGATGGATGAATGGGGGGAAGAGAGTGGCTCCAGGTCAGGTTTGTTTGCCTGGCGCGGAGGGGACGGACCGGTGTTCACCCGAAAGCAGGGAGCCCTTAATCCAGGAGACCCTCCTTGCTGAACTGAGAAGCTCGGAGTGCTGGCGGCGATGCGGGCATCTCCTCCCTGCCCCGGGGGTGCTGCGCTCAGCCCACCCAAGTCAGCCCTGGGGACCTCTCCGCCTAGCCCCAGGCCACTGCCCAGCTTCTCTTTTACTATTTTGACCCTTCCTTTTCTGCTCTTCCCCTTTCTTTTTCTCTCCTCTCCTCTCCTCTCTCCTCTGGCCTTTCCTCTCTCTCCCCTCTCTATGAGAAGTGGAGAGTCTATCTGTCTTCAGAGCACACTCAGCCACACTAGACCATCATCACATCTCTTGGTCTCTGAGGGGATAGGGGGACAGAGGGGTTGAGTACCCCAACACACCCCTCTCCAACCAAGAATGAAGACCAGCTTTAAGAAGTGGCTTAGCAGGCAGCCATTTCAGTATACCTGTGCCCACCACCACCACTGCACACACCACAGAAATAGGCCCACTGATTTGTTGAGGCCTCTATGTAGTGGCTCAAACAGAGGTTTCATACTTTAAGCTTAGAATCTTGTCTTCTGTTTAAATGCATCTGAATACCCTTAGGGACTGGTAAAGCTTTAAACCTTTGCCATTGCCCTCGATTTGAATTATTCAAATCCCTTGTAGAAAGAACTTGGGGGGGCAGGGGGGGTACATTGCTGTCATGTGGAAACAGCCTCAAGGGTCTGAGAGTGGGAAAGCCAAACTTGGCAGGACTAGTGACAAACTGCCTGGTCCACAATTTGGCCTGGAACCCTGCTGCCTGAGTGCACACACACTGCTGTTTTACTGGGGGTTGGGGATAAGGCTGAATAAGTTATGCTTTCTTTCAAAATCAGGAAGGGGAAGGGGAAGGAGAAGGAGAAGGGGTATTAACGAGGGGCTGGGAAGATGTTTATATAACATTTTTTCCAGGACCTTTGATTTGCAAATGCAAATCTAGTTACTCATTGGAGAAAGTCCACTGCCTGGACTCTAGTGCTCCCCTAAACCCATCTGCTTGGCAAAGGGATCTGGACCTTCCTGAAGATGAGAAGAGAGGAAAAGGATTCACACTTGTCACACTTGGGAAGACGTTCCCTTCCCCTTGTGTACTGGCAGAGTTAATCCACAAAATGCTAGAGACATAACTATGAGCCAGAACTGTATATATGTTCAGAGCCAGAGCAGCCCAGCTTGAACGGTGAACATGCGTACAGGTACACACATACATGCACAGGCCACACACAAAAGTGCCCAAAATTACTTAACGTTGATAGGCTAGTGATAGAGAACTGTTGAGTGGAACAAAAGGGATAGAGCGGCACTTGAGCACAGCTCTGTGCAGAAAGGAAGCTGGAGCACTGCCACCACATCCAGAGGCTTGAAAATCCAGGGTGTGTTCTTCTTGTGACTTTTATCAGCATTTATTTTGACAAATAAACAGTATGATTAATAGAGACATTGAATTGTAGCACTTAAGGGAAACTGAAGGTCCTCTCATATTACAGATAGGGAAATGAGACTCAGAGATGTGAGATCTGCACAAATCACCTACAAACTTGCACTTCACACCAGTGTCTGTTACACCAGATTGTCTCAAGGAGCTTTAAGTTCCACACATAGACTTTTTTTTTTTTAAAGCAAAAACATTATTTCACAGTTCTTAGGTTTAGGGATCTGAGCACAGCTTAGTGCACTGTCTCTCACAAGACTGCAAAGAAGGTATTAGCTAATGCTGAGGTCTTATCTGAAAGCTTGACTGGGGAGTCATCTGCTTCCAAGTTCATTCATGTAGTTGATACACACAGAATTTTAAGGTTAGAAGAAACCAGGACACATAAGGACAAGCAAAGAAATATAAATACTGTATTACTCAGGGTTCACCAAAGAAATAGAGCCAACAGGATGTGTATATGTATGTAGAGAGAACCCTTTGAGGAATCAGCTCACATGATTGCGGAGATGCAAATCCAAATCTGCAGAGGAGGCCAGCAGTCTGGAGACTCAGGGAAGAGTTGAAGGCCAAGTCCAAAGGCAGTCTGCTGGCAGAATTCCTTCTTGCTTGCAGGCAGTCAATCTTTGCTCTATTTTGGCCTTCAATTGATTGAATGAGGCTAAGCCACATAATGGGAAGCAATCTGCTTCATTCAAAGTCCACCAATTTAAATGTTAATCTCATTCAGAAACACTTCTTTGGCGACATCCAAAATAATGTTTGACCAAATATTTGGACACTGGCCCAGCCAAGTGGACACATAAAATTAGCCATCACTGTAATATGTCTATCTAAAACATGAATAGTATACTTACCTGTGCTATCATATGTTAAATGTTCATGAATTTACTGATATTTCTATACAATTCCCTGAATCATAGCTAAAATAGTTCAAAGGGTCATTGCTGTCATTGGTCAGTACATTAGTAATCTCTATGTACTTTGATACTTTTGTTTTTTTCTTTGACGTAGTATGTTAGGGAAGTGGAACATGTAAAGAAAACTACATGGTCCTTTAATGCAACATCCTGTGTTCAAAAATCAACCAGCACTGTGAACTCTGGCATTTTACTATGTCAACTATGTAATCTAATTTATAAAAATATTATAAAGTTCAACTCATAGGCCAACAGGCAGATTCAATGAGCTAATGGTACAGAGCACCCAGCATGTTTCCTGGAACTTGGCAATATTGTCTGCCTTCTCCTGCCCCGCATATCATTCTAAAACTGAAAGAGCCAGGACCACATTCCTCTGCCTACAGGAATCCCCTGACAACATTCCGGACAAAGTGAATATTGAACATCATCTGTTTGAATCCTTAACATTGATGAACACTCAACTATGAGAAACTTCCTTTCTGTTGATTGAATCAGACATTCATGTCCTCAACTTCCATTCAGAACAAGGACATTCTATCTTCCACAAAAAAGCCTTTCAAATATCTGAAGACAGCAGTCATCTCTCTTCTCAGCCTTTCCTTTTTCAGTTTTCACAGCCCTAGTTATTTTAACTGTTCAGTGCCTGGCTCCTCCCCACACATGTGTTTCACCCTTCCCTATCCACCCGTGACCCAATACCAGCCCTCTTGACAACATCCTCAAAGTGGATTCCACACCTTGGTAACAGTGGGATCCTTACCTTTCTTAAACTGAATATTACTCTTGTGTAAATAAAAGTTAATACTGACCTTTCAAATAGCCACATAAAATATTTACAGTAGGAATAGAAGTAGCTTTTGTTATATTGATCTTCTACTATGTGCCAGGAGTGTATAAATTTTATTCTACAAATCAAGTTGTTCAAGACATACATCTTAATTTGTAAATAATTCAACCCAATCTCTGTTTCAACCTCTCATTCTGTCTTAATCCAATTCCTATACTCTCCCCAGGAGAAAAGGAATATCTAAAGAACAAAATAACCTGATAAACAAAATAGATCCAGAGATATAGAAGCATGGAACAGACTAACGAGTCTCAGAGGGAAGGTGGGGGTGGGGCGGGGGGCGGGGAGAGATTAACCAAAGAAATTGTATGCATATACTCATAACCCATGGATACAGACAATAGTGTGGTGAAGGCCAGGTGGGGGAGGGGCGGGGGGGTGGGGAGTCAATGTGGGAAAAGGGGGACATCTGTAATATTTTCAACAATAAAGACAAACTTTTTAAAAAGTTAATGTCACAAAACTATCATGCTTCCCTAAATTCAATTTGTTTGCTATTGATTATTATTCACATTTAAAGAGAGGAAATTGAAGTTCAAAATGGTTAAGCAACTTGCTCAACATCATGCAAGGAGTAGTAAGAGCAAGCTGAGTCCACACCAAAGTCTGAGTAACTTCTAATATTGTGCTTTGCCCGCAGGTGGCCCCAAGTCTTTTCACATGAGCTGTCTGTCACCAAGTCAGACAGCCATCCTGCCCATCCTGACTTCATGGTCAGGGAACCCTTTTTATTCTGATGCATTCAGTACAGTATATAACTTTGTAAAATTTGAAAATTGGTACCTTCATTAATCTTGTCAACAATGTTTTTCAAGAGTTTTTCACATGCACATTTAATAATTCTGTTTCCTATATTTGGAATATATATATATATATATATATATATATATATATATATATATATATGAGAATATATTCACCCAAACAAAATCCCTGTGGAAATTCATGTGGGACTGCTTCCTAGCAATGCTGATCTTCTGTTAATCAC